GAACCACAGAGGGTAGGAACCACTGAGGGTAGGAACCACAGAGGGTAGGAATCACAGAGGGTAGGAACCACTGAGGGTAGGAACCACAGAGGGTAGGAACCACTGAGGGTAGGAACCACAGAGGGTAGGAACCACTAAGGGTAAGAACCACAGAGGGTAGGAACCACTGAGGGTAGGACCCACAGAGCAGTTGGAGTAAGAGTGAGTAGGGAAGCCTCTGAGGAAGTGGTATCTGAGTAGAAACCTCAAGCAAATGAAAATAGATGCCCTGGAGATGCTGAGGGGAGTTCCAGATAGAGGAAGCACAAGTGCAAAGGCCCTGGGCTAGGGGTGTCATGGACACAGCAAGGAGGCCAATGTGGCTGGGACAAGTGAGTAAAGGAAAGAAAAGAGAAGGAAGAGAGAAGAGTGAGGACTAGATCAAGCACGGACTCACAGGCTGAGGTGAAGATATTGGGTGTTAAATGGGGTAGGGATGATGTTGGTGTGTTAGTCCATCTTTTATTACTATAACAAAGTACCTGAGGCATCTAACTTTATACAGAAAAGAGGTTCTGGAGGCCCAAGGGCATGGTGTCTACATCTCAACCTGGTAAAGACTTCATGTTGTCCTAGTGGGAGCATGCATATGCAAGAGGAAGGGAAATCACATCATCAAACAGGAAGCCAGGGCATGCTTTGGGGATTAATCCACTCTTGCAATCCATAACTTGCTCTTGCAAGAGCTCCAAAGCCCCATGGAAACTATTTTAATCCCTGCTGAGGACACACACCCAGTGGCATGAGGACCACGGCTAGGCCCCACCCCGGAAGTCCCCTGCATCAATACAGCCACACTGTGGCCTCCAACACATGAATCACTGGGTGACAACCACGTCCAGCCCATAGCACTTGGTCATTGGTACTGCTGCCGAGAAGGGGCTGGAAGCTGGAAACAATGAGCAGTGCATCTTGGGACCCCTCCTCCGAGTCTACAGGAGCATGTCCTGGGAGAGTCCTCCAGACATGGGAGCTTAACTCTGTGTTCTTCCTCCTCAGAAGAGGTGATCCTCGCCGAGGACGAGACTGATGTGGAGCAGAGGCATCCCTTTGATGGTAACTGCTCTAGACCCAACTTGGTGCCAGGTCCCTGGGGAGATGCTGCGGCTGGGGCAACAAGTGATCTGGTTCTAATGCATTTCCATGGGGTGAATATTCAGGCTTCAAGAACACACAGGAGACCAGGACATCTCAGAAAGATCAGTGATGAAGTTGAACTTATAAATTAGGTGCAATAAAGGATTAATAATAATGATGATGGAGTAGAACAACTGTAACAATGGACTGCTAACTAATGGTTATCGGTTGCTTGTTTCCAGAATTTTCCATGCACTATGCCAGACTGCAGATGACTGAGGTTAACTGAAACCTCAGAAAGTGCCATCACAGATAAGGGAGATGTCTGTGTTTGCCTCATTTTCTAAACAATTGGATAAACAATAATTTAAAAAAAATATATTAAAGGGCCGGCCAGATAGCTCAGCAAATTGAAGTGCCTGCTTAAGCAGACGCAGGGGCCGGGGTTCAATCCCTGGCCTGCCGTGCCGGCCCTGCCCCTGAGGCGCACTGAGATGGCAAATGAGACTGGGCGTGGTGGCACGTGCCTGTAATCCCAGCACTTGGGAGGCTGAAAAACAGGAAGATTACTACAAGTCTGATCTGTGTAGTGAGACCCTGTAGACCCTGTACTAAGTACACACACAAAATAATAATAATATTATTACTCATATTAATGCAACTACTGCATGCTAACTGATTGTCCTATTGGAGCTTCAATAATATTAATGATCCTACTGAGAATCAAGCTTATTGTTAAGGTCTGTGGTCCCATATATTAAAAACTTGACTAGAGAGAACCATGGCTTGATTGAAAATACTGTGCATAAAAATAAAATAGAACAGCTAAGGATCCTTTTGGTCAGTTATAAAACCAGTATTACCAACCACTTCTCTAGGGGTGTGAATTACTTTATCTAGAGCCTAGAGAAAATCGTTGACCCTGGAGACCTGGATATAGGAGAAGGGAACATTGAAAACGTCCGTAAACCCAACTTTCCCGTAACTCGTAAACTCAGTTTGCTGCAGGGAGTCAAGGGGTAGACTATAAAAGTCACAGTGTATCCTCCTTAGGGCTTCCTGAAGATGGAGTTTTAGATATGGACAGAAAGGAAATGTTTGCAAGATAATACTAACAATAAAAATGATACAGATAGGGCTGGTGAGATGGCTCAGTGGTCTAAAGCACCTACTTAGAACAAGCTTAGCAAAGCACAGGGACCGCGGTTCAATCCCCCAGCACC